TTTTTGATATTTTTGTTGGCATAATGAATGTCTTCAAGCTCATTTATCGGATATCATCCATCCTCTGCGAGGAACAAAGGGACCAGAGTGATGCCACGAGTATCACCTTCAAGGTAGCCTATCCTTCTATCGATCACGGATCAAGTAGGCCGTTCCAGCCCACCAGACTCAGAAATAAATATCTGACTGACAGGTCAGTTCCCTGTGCCCTGTGATGTGGACAAGCTCTTCACTGCGACACGAAGGTTGATGCTGGAGATGTCGTTCTCTGCATGTTTGTTTTAGCTCAACTCGTGAAAATCGTTAAACTCAGTGGGGACGGGACCAGCCGCAGCCAATCAGCCAATCAGCCAATGGACCGTGACTAAGCATAACAGCCGCCACGACGTCAAGATCGAGAGAGGGACAATCAAACTGTGAGGTATGATAGACTACACCACCGTGGGTTGATGGCTGCACGGTAGTCTGCCATTTATTCTACTGCCCTATCTCGCTTGAATACAGAAACTATACAGTCCGAGTTGGGAGGTCTAGCACTCGCGGGTACGACCGAAGCCCACATTTCAAGTTCATAAATATCCGACTTAGCCCAACTTCACGTCAATGCAAATACCTCAATGCTTATATTGACGAATTCCTACGTATCACGCTTTACATTGGATCTTTTCTGTAGCGAGAGGTTGGTAAGGGTGGTATCGCCGTGGATAACAACTTCATTATAGAAGGCTACGGTGTTGGGACAAATACTTACAGCCTCCATCACAACCAAAAATACTTCCCCTGTCCGCACGAGTTCATATCATAGCGATGGATCATGGATGAACACGATACCCAGAAGGTTTCTGCGGTTGCTACCGCCAAGGCTGCATTCCCCCCTTTTTCCATTGGTCCAAGGGTTGTATTGGGCGACTATTGGGTTATTTGAACCTGAAACTCACGATTGCCACGCTCATCTGGAAACATGACTTTTGGCTAGCGGACGGGGCCGCCGGTGGAAAGGGTGCAGGACATCCACTAGGTAAGCGCGGGAGGACAAACCCAGTGGAATTTCAAGTATTTGAACGGATCATGACCATTGATGATGGCCTGATGATCCAGTTCAGGCACAGGACATAGGTTATCTATTTCATGATTTACGATACATTGTTCTGGCGGCTTATAGACTATACATGCCTTACACCTTGTTATATAAGAGTCGTGTGCCTATAATTAGGGTAATAATATCAGATAAAGATATTAATGACAATAATTATCCATTAAAATTAAAGTTAATAAATAACCACATAAGTATCATGATGGGAAAATAGCCATGTGTGCGTATTTCAGAATATATAACCAATCCACACTATTCAGCATCTATACAACGATCAAATAATCCATAAACCTAGTAGAAATGCACGAAACCCAAAAATATAACCTTTTTAATGCTCGAATTGCCGTCCATCCCAATCCCATGGCTTGGTAGCTTCACCTGGTTTAGGAACAGGACAACTCTCTACTTCTGGAGGGTAATTTTCAACCAGAGCGCCATTTACACTGCCAAAGTATATCCTAAGGATCTCTTTTTTCGCAGGCTTCCCAATAACTGTACTCGGCAATTCCTCCTCATCTTTTAGCAACTTGAGCAGGGTTGGCATCATATACGTTGGTAGCGTTCCCTCTAGGTCAGATCTGATCAATCCTAGTGTTGTCATATTACTAGTTATTTGGGTATCCGGCCTGAGCCTCACAACAGCTGCGCAAAGCTGCCTGAGTTTCTTGTGCGGGACGGCCACAACACAGGCTTCTGAGATATATGGTAGTTTGGTTAAACCGTCCTCGACTGCAAGAGTAGAAAACCGAAATGCTGCATATTGGACGCCTATAAATCATGTTAGCTCTCCGCTCTATTTGAGTTTGCACAAGTGACATGGAGCATCAGCTATTAAACTTACAGTCAGTAGCTACACGTCCGGCGAATATATATTCTCCATTGATGTAGTTAGCTAGATCCCCGGTTTTATAGTACCCTTCTTTGTCAAAGATACTCTCAACCGTATGATTGTCACCGATATAACTGTACTCAACGGCTTAGTTAATATGCCATGATAGGTAAATGGAATTTCAGGTGCTGGGCTACATACCGTAGAAGCATCTTTGGACTTTTGACACAAATTTCTCCTCGATCTCCTTCTGATAGCTTTACTTTGATTCCGGGGACTGGAGTTCCCATCGAACCCTAAACCGTAAAGTTATTTTCTCGTTTATTGCTAACCTCGAGTTTTCGAATGTAGGGCTTACATATATTTGAGAAGGCCCACCAATTGCAAGTCCTCCAAGTTCGGTAGAAGAATAGAAGTTGTCAAATGGTAACCCCGTTAAATTCATCCAAAAGTCCCTAACCGAACGTTCAAGGGATCCCCCAGAACATCTGATCATTGATAACCCCCTGAAATAACTTTGCCATAAGTCTTTCTCCTCCTGTGGGATGGTGGATAGATCTCTGTCGCCGGTAAGTAAGAACATCATCCGCCGCAATACATCTGGCATAAACACGACATGTGTGATCAACGTGGTTCTGAAAGCCCGCAGAACGTCTTCAGCACGAGCGTCCTGGACTTTTGTTTTCAGACTATGAATTTTCATCCCCGAGAGGAGTGACTGGATTATATCCCTGGCACCGCCAATCCAATGGTTTGGGCGATAAACGAGGGCTGTCGAGCCGGGCTCTCTGATGCCTGTTCTGAGGAGAGCACATCGTGGTAGCAAAGCTCCTTTAGGACGCCCTGTGGTTCCTGACGTAAAGATGATCATCCCAGGTCCCCCTGGTGTCATGACACAGCTGTGATCAATCTCAATGGCTCTTTCAGCTTCATCAAGAGTCTTTGCATCACAGGATAGAGCAACGACCGTCAGAGCTTCAGATTTTGTTTGCTTGATGTAGGTGTGAATGTTGCTGGCCCTCTCCATACTGCCTCGGCCAGCAAGTATGGATATTGAGCTTGTAATGGAAAGCAAGTAATCCGCCTCCTCGGGGAGTATGGCAGTCCCTCAAAACAGCCAGTTAGCCTGATTTCGTTCTCCGCTGAGTGTTGGTATGGAACGTGAATTTTTACCTAGAGGTGCACATACACCACCCAAGGATCGTATAGTAAAGAAGGCAACGAGAAACTCATATCCGCTCTTCGCGAGGAGAGCGACGCTTTGCCTCTCTTCGCACAAAAGTCCCTGGGTATCTAATGCCGAGGGGGGTAATTGCGCTCGCAGGAGTTCTCGGGTTGCAACGATGTCAGCAAGAAGCTCAGGATACGTCTTCTTGCAGCCAAGTGCATCGTCTTCGACGACGGCCTCAGTAGGAGGAGTCTGATGTGCTAGTGCTAATAACTGGACCAGCACTGGATCATGAGGAAATCTGTGAATTGGTATAGGAATCATGACTGATGATTTTGACGCCTCGAAATGGAGAGTTTGGATGAATTTATCACCTTGCAAGACTATCGTTGATATGTAGGATTCCCCCTTCCTACTGACTTGATGCTATTTAAATGTGTAGGTGAATCGAAGAGCTGGCTACGCCATTAATTCCCTGTTACAAGGCTTTGTAGAGCTGTTGGACTGCGGTTTGGCCCTGAACTATCCAATCGCAGTTGTGGGAGATAAACCACAGGCAGCTGCCGCAAGCCGGCAAAGGTATTAGATTTTAAAACCAACAACTGGTTAGTTTCACAAAGGAGTAAAAGATTGTAAATCAGTCTCTTGAATTAAATAATTGGTATTGTATAACGTGAACTCCGTACATCACATTCGTACGTGTCCACCATCACCATCTCTAGCTAGCTCGACTCTCTAGAGCTTTGAAGTAGACGGACATGAGCAATGTTTGGCCTCGTTCTTCTCAGATGAAATATGTAGAGAAGACTGATTGAAATTCTGCGTTGACTGCGGGACGTCCAAAGCAGGATTTTTCTCGAAGAAACCATCCGGTCTGAGCATGATGCTGACTTTCTCCATGGGCATAACAGGGAAATCCTCTGGGCGGGGATTATGTGTAAGTGCGAAGGCTACACATTGTTAGTACCAACAGAACGATAAATAAAAACAGTTCACCTGACTTACTATGCCAGAGGACAACATCTGTATTTTCGACGTTATCTTCTCGAGCGACCCATTGCTCAACACCAGAGCTTCCCTTGCTTTGATTAGTGAATTCGCTGGCAGCATACAGTTCATCGTCACGGTACTTGGTCACCCATATTGGCCTTGTAGCGAACTGGGCCCGTTTCATGTTGAAGCTGCGGGGGTGCATGAGCATGAGCTGGCTGGGCAATGCGTGCAATTTGTAGGCAACCGGTTTGCCAGATGTGGGGTTAATGATATTGTCGTTCCGGATCTTGAAAACACGGGCATCAGGAACACTGAGATCCGCTGCTGTTGAAAGTTTGATGACCTTGGTTTCTTGGACGTATCCCACACCATAAGGGTTTGTATCTGGGTCGTCAGGCATTGGAACGCTGTCTTGATATATCACCGTATTGTTGTGTCCGTCAATGGCTGGATCAATACGCATGCTGAATATGTGCTGATGATAGGCAGCCATGACTCCTGGGGCCACGTTGGTGCCGAACGGAACGGACACTCCTTCGTCGATAGGCATGGTTGACAATATACCTGTCGCCCTGACTTCAAGCTCGATATTGCCGGCTTGATCAAATATCCAAGCAAAGATGTATTCGTAGTTTGCGACTGTGCAGATCATTTGCAAAACAAGTTGACGATTCCGGACCACAGTGGCAGCCTGGGAGCGGTAGTTGGTATGTTTATGTTGTATTCCATTCTCTTGTTCGTGTAGACAGAGAACGTTTTTCAACAGCACTGGGTTTCCCTTGGAGTCGATTCTGTAGCCATCGAAGTACTTGATATGACCGAGACAGTCACAGCCCAGAGATAGCTGGTTGGCTGTAACTCCAAAGCCAACATCCCCAATGTCAAATGCCTGTTTACGATGGTATGGTGCCCGTGGATCTAACACTAATATTAGCTGGTGAAGATAGAGATACCGAATGCATAAGCTTACCTCCATAAGGAACGGTCATTTCATTCACGGCTAGCCGGTAGAAGACATTGCGTCTGTCATACGTCACGCCATACAGCACCATTCCTTCGCGATAGTTGAATCCAACGTGAAACCTCCACTTCTGCCAGTGCACAAAGTTCCCATTTACGGAAAACGAGGGGCCTTCTGGCTGTTGTACTATGTACGGTTTGAGATCCGTTCGAGTAGGCTCATCCAAGAGATCATGAGCGTACTGAACGGCCTTGACCGGTTTCCAGGGCTGAGTAGGCTTCGTAGAATGATCCGAGCCAGTAGATAGGTAGTCAATGCGGACTAGCTCCTTGGTATTGCTGTCAAATACCGGGGAAAACGTGCATGGGAGGGAGTAGTGGTTATGCTGGGGGTCTTCAGTATCGACAAGATACATGTAAAACTGCATCAGACGGCGGGTTTCTTTGGGATCATCTGTTCCATAGATCCAGGGGTCCGAACACACGGTCACTCCTGGTGGAAGCTTCATCTTCTCAACCTCGGCTTTCACAGCAGGATGCTCCAAGCAGAGCTGTTCCATCTCGATCAGCTCATCTGCGTCACAAGGCCCCTATATATTTGTTAGCGGAGAATCTTCAACTCAGACTGATGGCTTGGACTTACCTGTATGTCCTTGGGTATCTCCTTTACGTGTAGTAGCACCCGGGTATCAATATTTATCAGCGCCTTCATAAAACTCTTTGTGTCCAGCCGATGGAACATGGCCATGAGTAGCCGAGCAGGCTTCTTAGGCAGGGAGACACATAGTCTCTCTGCCTCGATATAGGGAACGACATCCTTCTTGATGGGCTCCTGGAGGTCGATAACCTTGTACCGCAGAGCAACTCCTGGAAAGGCATTCTCGAGGATCTTGACAGCCAGCCGGAGCTCGGCAGGCGTCACCGGGTCAAACGGATGTGGTGCCATTATGAGAGAGTGTCTTGGTAAACGAGGAACATCACCTATCAACCGAGGCTGAACGGAGTACACAGAGTGCGGTATATTTCTTGCACAAATATGAAAAAGAAAAAGGGTCTGGAGGAATGCCACGGTAGGATGTTTTTAAATAGTTTGACGGCTGCAAGTGGTAGCTCTCACACTGGAAGCTCCCTGACCCCCACGCAGATCGAGAACACGAAGAGACAAGAAACCCGGGGCTGAACGCATCACGGCGGTACTATGCAGCCACTAGTACTCCGTAGACCGGCCTGCCTCACTCCCTCCTCCATAGCTTGGTTGCTAAACGATCCTCCACGCAGCGCCTGGCTGGCTGGTACGTCCCAAGATGTCGCTTCTTCTCACCGCCCGCAAGTTTTCCGCCCCGGAGCGTCCAAGCTTTTTGCTGCAACCCGATTGGCCAGGCCAAGAGGCTAATCGCATGGACTTACCGCATCAGGAATAGAACACGGCAAGTCTTGGCATCCATTTCCTGTCGGCTTTTTTCTTTTTTTTCTTTTTTTTTTTTCTGTTTTATCTTAATTATTATTATTATTTATTCTGCTTGATATTATTTATTATTCTGTGGTCGTTTCTTCTTCTCCAGTTCATGTATCATGAGCTATTCTTGGGGCAGCCACATGGGATCTGCTGCGAAGATCTGGCCGTTGAGCTCGGTTCTAGATATCATGTTCGCATCTGTCTATCTGCGCTCAGAGATAGAGGATGGATAGAGTTTGCTTGAACACGCGTTACGGCCTGACGCTTCGACTTGAAACAGCGTTGTCGAATGAATGGAGGACAGCAACGGCCAACCTGCCAGACGAACTAGGATGGCTTGCGCGACGTGGAAGGGGACAAGGTCAACAAAGATGCTACGTACTCCGTGCTCTGTCCGATGTTCGCAGTCAAATGGAGAAAGTCTATGCGGCTGGACGCTGGGCGGTATATCCCATAAATATTGCAGTACAGCCTACTCCTTGATACTCCGCATGCAGGGTGTCTGACTTTCCCCGCAGCCTTCCAGCGTCAATCTCGGCTCGCCGTTTTCTCCTCTCGCCTGATGTAAATCGCAGGGCGGAAGGTTGGCGGGCGGTGGATCTCGCCTGCAGCGGGACGCTGAAATTGCCGACAGCCGACGCGGAATAACTGTAATGCCGTCCGAGATCTATAATCACGTGATTGGTCCAGCTTCGGAGCGGAAATAGGGTAGCGGCTGGCTTAGGTGCTCCAAGTGTGCTGGCAAACAAAGCAAGTAATATCTTGGAGTTAATATATCTATTATTCGGACCATAATGCTACCGATATATCTCACCCAGCTTATTGAAATTCCATCAGATAGTGATTCCTGAGAAATCTGATCACATGATATGTCGGAATAACTAATACCCATTCCGGTCTTGGCAAGTTTTTGAGATGCCGAGGCTCTTCGCATGTGTTTATCGTCTACAACTTGGATTTCTCCATGTTCGACAAACATACCGACACTTCAACAGACATACAACTAACTAGACCACTCCAGCTCTTCTTTACAATTCGTTTTGATATTAAAGCGTGAGAATTGCAGCTGCATCTATTGTATATATGATCAAACCCACGGATAGCCTGCGCTCTCGGATCCTTGTCCCGGCTTCAGTCGCCTGGACATAAGCTCACTCCGAAACCCGACGTCATCATGGATGCCATAAAGGTATACACCCTACCTCTCGCATACCACTTCAAATCATTTGACTGATGTATTTACTCTTTAGGCCAACCTGAATGAACTTATCCGAAACCCTGACCTCGCTCCTCTATTCGCCATCCTTAAAGGCGCTCGCAATGGTGCGGTATACGGCGCCAAAGTCCGATTTCCACATGCACTGGTGTAAGGATGGGCATCTCCCTATTGTATATAAGCTGAATATTTTGGAGTGTACATGCTGATCTCACCTCGCATTACCAGGATGATATTTTTGTTTCGGTCTGGAAGGTATGTATCTTTCCGCCTATACGTCTACAACGAGAATACTTATGCATTTCTGGCTCTACAGTCTAAAGAAAAAGATATGGATGGTATTGAACGCTACAAGGACACATGCTCGTAACCTCGCCTATTTTGCCGTCGTATACAAGTCATCCATGTGGGCTTTGAAATATATTGGCCCTACCGGCTGGGGTAAGGAGGGCCCATACGATACTTTCCTTGCCGGCCTATTAGGCGGATATCTCGTCTTTGGCAGATCTCCAGGAGACGTCAGTCTACAGGTCAGTAAACCCAACCTCTTAGCTTGTTCTGAAAAGCTCATCAACTCACTATTGATTTTGACTGGAAATAGATCGTCATCTACGTTTTCGCACGAGTAATGCTGGCTCTGGGTAGGCTTTCCATAGCACCCAACCAGCATCCATTATCGTTCCTCATCACTCCAAAGGCACGCGAAAACATAAGTGAGGCAGCATGGCCATGTTTTGCCAGTTTAAGCTGGGCGATGGTCATGTACATCTTCCGCTGGCATCCGGAAGTAATTCAGAACAGTCTGAGAAGCAGCATGACATACATGTATGTCCCCACTGCCCTGAAGTTAACCCTACGGCCTATGTCTAGGCGGAAGCTAACTCGAACCGTAGATATGTGGATTCCGATTCTTTCGATTCTATCGATACACTACTTATTCGAAATAAATAAAACAGGTTAATGGTGCCATTCACTGCATATATATCAGAATCCAACCGGGCATATTCATGCACTTACCACCATGAATACTGATCCCTTGATAATGCCATATTAAGGGGTGGTAACATTTTCTATTCTTTCTCCTCTTTTCATCTCATAGATACAGGCGTTAGGTTCTACATAACATGGGAACTCGGAGTGGGATCTTACATCTAAACAACAGCTGTTATACTGGCCTCATTTTCTGGGACTTTCACTAGTAATTCATTCTTGCAAGAGCTAGTCTACCTAAATGATATTTAGTTACAGTTCACTGTCGGAGGTTATGGGGTATTATATTATTGCGTTTGGCTTATTAAACTGGTATCATTTACCTCAAGAGTTTAACTCTCTGTATTCGTCTACCTATCAGTATGCGAATGTTGTTCTCAAAATAGTGAATGGAAGGGAAAACAACTCGATCAAAGAACATCTCAATATATGTAGTCATTGGCGACATAACAGTTTACAAGTAGGATGCTATTCAGTCTAACGAGGTTATGTTCTCTAGTAGTGTTTTACTTTAACTTGGATTAGTCCGCTTGTAGTTTAATATAAATATTTTATTGCTCTGAATGAATAGCCCTGATAGGAGATGGATAGAATAAATGTATCAACATATGAATCAATCAATACATTGGATGCAGGCGGAAAGTCCGATCAAAAAAAAAGTAAAAGAAAGACAAGCTTCTTAGTAATCGCACGCTAACATCCACGTGACTATTGCAATTTTATGACTAAACGGATATTGCATTACGTCATCCACATCAACGGGTTCCCATTGGACAGCTGGTCGGGCACACTTGATCAATTGAAAATATAATGCGTAATATAGCGGCTACGAGCCTGATCGCGATGACCGTCGGGATAGGGGTCCATGGGCCCATTTCGTCTATATATTGAATAACTGTGTCTTTGATATTGAATAACCATGGGCGAAAGTGCTGGGCTGCGCTTGAGCAGCTCGATGATTCTGAAAACATTCGATGCGAACCGGGGAAGCCTGCTAACATCGATTTCTATGGACGCCACTTTGTCAAAAGGAAAATTGTCAAAGCGTGTGTCTCTCTTGGATGCGCTGTTCTCAAGCCTGAAGAGCGCTCCATAATCGATGATGTGTCTCCTGACACGCCTCTTGAAGCGAACAGTGGCCAAGAGGGCTTCATCCTCCTTGTGTGAGAATGACGGATCGAAACTTATGTGTTTTGGAATATATAACGTGCGATATCTCGTTGTAGAGGCCTTTGCTCGCACGGAGTACTCGTAGGTCTACTTCGGCTGAGGTTCGGGCGGTATTTGGCTGTGCTTCCGGCTCTTTCTTTTGGCCGGCAGGGAAGAATTCCAACCATATAAGCTCCCTAATTTCGAAAGGGAGCTTCGAGAAGTCTCCAAGACTGCGAAGTAGATCCATATTGGTAAGAAGATATTTGGATTTTTCTTTTCTCGCCATATTTCAGTTATATTGGGTATATATGACTAGAAGCAGTTCAAATTCTGGAGAGCAGACGGACGTGCGTATACCGTTGCATTTTATACCCCTAATTGGGTATGATGTCATTCACCATCCATGGGGCGTGGTTCCGTTGATATAAGCTCAAAATGGTAACGGTTCAACCGAAAGGAAGATATGCGCAAACTCTGGAGTATCGGATAAACCCTTAGGAAAGTTTCAACAAAGTGCTAGACACCCTATGCCAAATATTCACTAGAGGGCCAAGGCAACAGCCATGATCAGGGTCATCATCTTTATCATCCCGATTTATATATTTTGGAATTGAGATTTCGGTCTGTGTAGCAGCATGTGTATAGGTTCCGGCGATGCTACTGTCAACACTAGGACTGATATATTGCTCAAGGATGGGCTGAGATGGCGTTTCTCCAGTAGAATCCGGAGCTGGTATTAGTGCTGAGGTTGATGTGTTGTTATTCTCCGGCAGTAGTGTGTGGTATTCTATGTTAGGGTTCTCCAGATCGGTTCCAGCTCCTCCTGGTTCCACCTGGTCTACAGCTTCTATGCTGCTGGCTGCGGAACCTCCATTATCGGATAGAGTATATGCAACGGGATTCTCCTCTGCCGGGTTAGAATCTTCCGAACTGGTCTCTTCATCCTCCAGTTGCTCCTCATTTGACTGTCCACTGCTATCCTGCTCAGAAGAACCGCGACTCGCATATGGAAGCGGTTGGGTAGTATTACGAGAATCATTACTGTCTGTAGTAGATTCTTCTTCTTCTTCTTCTTCCTCTACCTCCGGCCAAGAGTAGTCGCCATGATTCATCCAGGGAGTCCGACTGGTTGAGTGAAAATCAGTATTAGCTTCAGTTCATTACAAATTGGTTTAAAAAGGAGAAGGTACGTACCAGCAGGGACAGCTAGGTTGAACGTGATCGCTAAACGATCGTTTCCATTCCTCTATACATTCAGCATGGAGATTTGAGCCACATTGTGCCATGCACCATGTTGTTCTAGGGCCATCAAGAGGCCTGTTATGGCGACGCGATCTTAACCCTGGTACAAGCACTTCTTGACAGACTGGGCAATCCTCGTTAGGTTTGATAAATTTCCTGGTGCCATATCGAACGGGAGTGGTACGGGATGAATTAGATTGAGCGGTGGGAAGGTGGGCAATAGGAGGCTGTGAAGTAGACTGTCGAGAAATGGTTGGACGAGGGACTGGCACAACGGTAGTGTGTCCAGAGGATGTGTCTCTTTGATCACTTGTGCGTCCACCAAAAACTACACTCCTTGGTGGTATTGGAACACGAACTCGTCTGGTCCTAGGCTGGCTAGCATACGCTGACTGTCGCTGTGAGGGAGGAGAGCGAGTAGGGGTAACATAGGCGGGTTGTCCTTGCGCCAATGAAGAAGCCACCATCTCCGCCCACCGCCGGGCTACAGTCACGGCCTGGTATTGATGATTCCTCCTGCAAAGGACAAGGGTAGCTAGCCGTTCAAGGGTCTGAGATATGTCTTGTCCATTACAAAGCTGCTCATTCCCTAGATTCAGTAACCCTAATGCGTTGTTTAGGCTGTGCTGAGCGATAGGGTTGCGGCAGCGGCGTCCTTGGCTTGGAGCGAATCCATAACATGTACGCTCGAGGGTAATCCCGATGATGTCTTCAAGTCTCGCCTGTTGAGAAACCGGTGCGATACTGAGTGTATCATCATCGATGCTGGATATGGACGACCAGTAGTCTGGCGTGGAGTCTAAATGTCCAAGTGGAGTGTAAGAGGCGTGGTCCGAAAAAATGGAGCCCATTTCGGACGGTCGAGCTGATGTATCGTATTTCAGATTGCAAGTATGGCTTCTATGGGCAGGGAGAGCCATGCCATTTTCTGATCCGATTTCTGGGGATGAAGCAAGGACAGCCGGGTGAAGGCAGGATTATATATCCTTGGGTGGCTTTTCCATGCTGGCATGACTTAGCCATAAGATCCAACGCTCTATCGATTTGTAACAGCCCCTGGCAGTGATATTAATAGATGAGGTTAGCTGTAGGGAGGAGGGGAAACACTTGGGACAGGGTATAGACGCTCTCACTCCGCCTCCATGATTCATGGAGGTGGCGCATCGAAATATAATCAACGCACTGTCCATTTTCGACTTGTAATTATTTCATGCATTGCAAGTTGATGAAACGTTTGCTGTTTCCCCGGCTCCCCGCAAGCCAGGAAGCGTAGTTGGCACATATTGCATCTCGCACATCCAGGAACGACTGATCCATGGGAGCGGCAGTTATATGACCAAAACCCCGCGAAGTTTGGTCGACACCGACAAGACCGAATCCTACCATGTAAGTAGTCAGCAAGGGACATGGATGCAAGTTGGACGTATGCAGCGCTTACAAGGTTGCGGGACGGCTGTGACTTTTGGAGTCTCTCATGCGAGGCCCGCACCCGATAGAACCAGCAACGATGTGACGCATATGCTCATCCTCCATCTATACGATATGCAAAAGATCATGTTTCGATTCCACAAGCGGATGCATAGGATATCTTGGAGATTTCAGCCACCTCTGGCATTGACATGTCTGAGCTACAGTCCAGAATAACCGTTGAACCTCCTTTTCTTTGGCAAAACAGTTGGGGTATCACCCGGACTCTGTTAGAGGCAGCCTTCTTCGCTCTATCCTCGTATCCTGATTGATATTCACGAGAGATTTTTCGCTGGTGGTGAATGTTCATATAGGTGGCCTCCATCCCCGGTACACCCGGAGCAACCCGGATTAGACACCCACGTAGAACCGTACCGATAACCTGAATTCATAACAGTTTCTTCTGTGAATATTCTTCGTTCGAGCGCAATTCAGTCACTTGCAGGAGAGAAGAAGAAGAAGAAAAAAAAAGGAATGCTGCGAGGGGCTTGCTGCTAGTGAAGGATGGAAGGGCAAGGATAGACACCCATCGTTTAAATGCTGAGCGGGCTGCCGTCCACGTCCTGTAAATCCGGATTATCGCCCCCGAGCATCGCAGGATATCGAGACTGTATCCATATCAGACAGCTATGAAGCCCCTGAGGATGTTCGGCGTCGCGGCGGGCTGTCTGCTATGGGCTGCGCTGGCAGACTGCGTCGGCTCCTTGACGGTCAACACCACCAACGGCGCCATCACCGGCCACCCGGCAAAGACAGCGTCAACGGTCCATGAGTTCCTCGGGATCCCGTATGCTCAGCCACCTGTCGGCAAGCTGCGATTCATGCCGCCGCAGCGATACGTTGGTGGCCAGCCGTTCGTCGCCTCTGACTTTGTACGTTGATTGACCGCGTTGTAGTTAGTTAACCAGCTGGAGGTGAACGGCCTGCTAACTAGTTAAACCCGCTGCAGTCAGCGTGAGTGCAATAGTATCAAGTCCAAAAAAAGATAACAACAACAACAACAACAGTAGCAGGAATGCCGGTTGATTCAACTGATGGACGGGTTGGCTGATGATGTCTATTAAGCGACTGTGTGTACACGCCGGCGAAGCTGGTCCCTTTCCCCGGCGCGACGCGCAACTACGCCAGGATCCTGACGGCATTCATGGGCAGCGGTGCCAACGTCCACAGCGAAGACTGCCTGACGCTGAACCTCTGGACGAAGGGCACTGCAGGCCGGAAGAGACCCGTCCTGGTCTTCTTCTACGGCGGGAGTATGCTGTCTATCCTCTTGTCCCTCTGGATGTCTCCCCTTACTGCGAGGTTGCGTTGCTGACATGACGTAGGATTCACCATTGGGGATACCAACACCCCCTTTTTCGACGGCCAGTTCTTCTCAGAAGCCGAGGATGTCGTGGTCGTGACCGTCAACTATCGAGTAGGCATCTTTGGCTTCCCTGGTGCCCCCGGACTGCGCCAGAACCTGGGCCTGAGGGACCAGCGGCTGGCGGTTGAATGGCTTCGGGACAACGCCGGGGCCTTTGGCGGAGACCCTTCAAGAATAACCATCTTCGGGCAGTCGTCTGGAGCTCTGGCAGTCGATGCGTATTCCTATGCGTATCGAGACGACCCCATTGTGGCTGGCCTGATCCTTCATTCCGGTACCATCTTCAGTTTCCCTCTGAACTCGAGGGAGCTGGCGGCCAGGAACTGGCACAATGCGTCTTCTCTCGCAGGCTGCGGCTCAGCGGGAGATGTGCTGGCCTGTATGCAAAGCAAGTCTGCCGATGATATCAGACTCGCGGCGGATAAGGTCCCTCCGCCGCCTAATACGAGCGTTGCTCGCTCACAGCCTGTGTTTCAGCCAGGCCCAGACGGTGAACTTATCTTTGATGACTACGAGTCCCTGGCGTCTCAGGGGAAATTCATCCAAATCGTGAGTCCATCTTAGATAATTCGTTATGTTGCTGTTCTTTACTCTGGGAACATAAGCTGAATTGTTATAGCCCATGATACTTGGCCATGGAGACCGTGAATCTTCATTCTACAACATCTCTGCTTCGGCTCGAGGCACTGTTCTCACAGACGAGCAGTGGGCCCAGTTCGTTACAGACGTGTTCGGATGCCCGGCCATGAAGGAAGCAGATTATCGAACTCAGCACAACATTCCGCTATGGAGATACCGTTACTTTGCTGACTGGGTCAATACTCGGCTGTTCCCTAACAGTGGCGCATACCATGGCGTCGACCTCCATATGATCTTTGGCAATTCTCAAGGAGTCGCCGGAGATCCAGAATCGCCAGATCAGACCATTCTCAAGAGAATCATGCAAAGAACCTGGGCTGCCTTTGCAGCTGACCCCTGGGCTGGGCTCAAAAGACACGGGTGGCCTGTCTACAAGAAGGACGGTAAGTTGGCACCCGCTCCCACATTCTACAATTGTTTGCTACGGGAAAAATAACTTACGGCCTAAACCTATTATCAGCTTACACCGTGGCCCGTCTCGGGTATAATAACAGCCCTTTTCCAGATTTCGTCAAACCGGCAGCTTATGATGCCCATTGTCCTGGTGCCTAAGACGCCCATCTTGGTTTTCCAACCTTCTTCAACTCAGTGTCAATGTTAAATCTAATCCAAGAAGAAGTAATATTTACGCAAGGTGTCACTTCAACTCCATGTGATGCGGCCATGTCCAGTGATAAGAAAAGCCTGAATTAACAGTATTTATGCCGAGCCTAATGCAGAGTATGTCCAAGTGGTACTCCGGACTCCAGGCTTTTAATAACACCAGAAACATACAGCCATGGCTATGGTAGCTTCAGGCCAGCCTGCAGGCCTCCAATAGTTCCGCTGTCGTTGCAACGGTAAAGTCAAACAGCGCCTCGAAGCTACGTTGTCTGGCCCGAGGTTGCTTGGGAAGTAACCAAGTATACCAAGTATATTACCGGCCAGGATGGTATATAACGGAATAACCCTTCACTAGCTAGCTGCCGGGAGAGAGGATATCAATGCGCTGCCGTCCCGTCCATCTACCCTAAAGAAGGATTCATTGGCTATGCTTCGTACAGACTCGCGTAGGAAGCGCAGGACGGCCATAAGGGTTTGCTGTTTCAACCCAGGACAGAAACTTCCGGTATACAGACCACTTTGATTGTTGAGAAAGGTTTACTCGTCCTTATTTAGTCTCGTGGGGGTGCAGTCTACGGACTCGCTGACTTTCATACAAGCTCTAGTTACCGAAGAAGCAAAGAGATGTGTTTTCCGTATCCCCCTTGAACTCGAACCGGACCGCCCGGAAGCCCACTGAGATGGATACTCAAAGTCGTCCCTGCATCCCTCCATGCTTCGCCGCCGTTCGGAGTACTCCGCGTGTGAGACCCTCCGATCGTCCATCTTGTCTGGGGAATGTTCGAACAGCTCCAGGTTATCACAACCACTGCGTGCATGCTCATGTTTGTATCGACATCATCCTATCAAGGGTGGTTAGTTAGTGTAACCAGTTATATCAGCCACCTCTAACCCGCCGCCGTGCTGAAAGCCATGAACCAAGATCACAGACGATTATTACCCAGGCAAACCTCAGTGTTTAGAGTGCTTTCCCCCCCTTATTGCGCAAAATCCAAACCTCGAAACGGCCAGTTTCAGCCTCCCAGGCCAAGAAGGTTCCTCATCGTCACTGTGCAGGGAGTACACAAAATACGGATAATAATGAGTTGAAACACAGCTCGTGGAACAAAAGGAAAGGAGACAAGCCTGCCAGTGAAGGATCAGCCTCCAAATTTCTTCATCACACCACCATCTAGACTCTCAAAATGGCCTTTTCCTTTCCTTCCTTGCTTTTTCCTCCTCTCTCTGCGACTCTCCCAAGAAAAGCCATAGTTTTAATACCTACGGAATACAGAGTATGGCGGTGGCAATTATTCATGAATTAACCCAGATGAATCGGTATGCAAAGGGACAGGAGTTCGAAACTGATGGTCGTCCTGGGTCCTGACGGTTGCTCAATCATCCGCGCCATCTTGGTCCGTCCACATCTGAACTCCTGTTTAGCCGGAGATCTTGTCCTGTCCCCAGCATGGCATATCACCGCCCTAGCCGGGACCCCTGGAGAAGTGGACTCGAGATCTGACCGCGAAGCATGGCACGCTAGGCTTGCTTTGACCTCTCGATCGGCTGCATCAGCCAGCCAAGCTGCCATCGTGCAAGAAGTGGCTTTTTCGCCTTTCCAGCAGCTCTCAAGGAGTTCATCTCCGGCACTGTCATGCACTGGTTCCTGGGGATTATGTATATTTTTTTTTCCAGCCTGTGGCGTACGGTCTGACCTTCGATACCTCTCCTTTTCTTTTTCGCTGCATCTTTCTTGTTTCTTGTCTTTTGCGCCGACGTGGGATGGCATAGCCGACATTTACAACACCTGGGCCGACCTCTTCGCTGAAGGAGAATTATTCATAGGAAAAAAAGCTTGTTGATCCT